CTCTAGCACAAGTGCACTTTATAACAATCATAGCACAAGTGCACTTTATTCCAGCTTCAGCACGAGTGCACTTTATAGTCCTCGATATACTAGAGGGAATGGTCAACATTAAGGGATGGAATCATCGGGACCCAGAGATAGATAACAATAATGGTAAGCATGTGCCTATTAATGAGACTACAGCTGCTGGAAATGAAGGGAATATCCCCGGGGGGGTTGGGACCGTGGGTGGGGGAGCCGCCATAGAGGTGGTGACTGGTAGGGGGAGATACGGGAAAGGGAGAATAAAACTTTCATTTCGGCCCAAAATCTACAGCAATAAATTGGCTATTCCTAAAGATGTTAGAAATCAAAGACAAAAGCAAATTCGGCCCAAAATCTTTAATAGGACATTGGCAATTCCAAAAATCAACACTACAATTCGGCCCGAAATTAACAAAAATAGATTGGCAATTCCAAAACCTACTCCCGACAAAATACAACTGAGGTGCCAAGATGGTGGCCCCTCCAAGCTGAAGGTGGTGCTGTTCAATGCCAGGTCGGTAAATGGAAAAACTTCCATCATACAAGATCTAATCCAAGAAGAACGAGCCGACCTGGCCTGTATAACGGAAACCTGGTTGGACGAGGGGGGAGGGGTTAATCTCTCCCAACTCTGTCCACCAGGTTACTCTGTTCAGCACCAACCAAGGCTTGGAGGGCGGGGAGGCGGAGTCGCAGTGGTCTATAAGGACTATATCCCACTGATCAGGTGTCCCATCCCACAATCATCTTCCTTTGAATGTGCCGGCTTCAGGATAGGTGACCGGGACAGGATAGGGATTCTGGTAGTGTACCGACCACCCCGCTGCACTACAGTCTCCCTACCTGAGCTAGCGGGAGGGGTCTCGGACATGGTGTTGAACTCCCAACGGCTTTTGGTCCTGGGAGATTTCAACATCCATGCCGAGGCCTCTCTTTCTGGAGCGGCTCAGGACTTCATGGCCGCCATGGCAACCATGGGCCTGTCGCTAATATATGGTCCCACCCATAGTGCCGGACACACCCTGGATTTGGTCTTCATTCAGGGATGGGATGAGGGTGACGGAATGGAGGAGCCGACCATCGCCCCTTTGCCATGGACCGATCACCACCTGATCAGTTTTAGACTAACTGTGCCTTCTAACCTTCGCAGGGGTGGTGGACCCATTAGAATGGTCCGCCCCAGGAGACTGATGGATCCAAATGGTTTCCTGACGGCTCTTGGGGATTTTTCCACCTTCTTGGCTAGCGACACTGTTGATGCTCTGGTCTCTGGCTGGAATAGTGAGTTGACCAGGGCAATTGACACTATCGCTCCGGAACGCCCCCTCTCGAGTAACCGAGCTAAACCAGCTTCTTGGTTTACTGAGGAGCTGGCAGCTATGAAGCGAAAGAAGAGGAGGCTAGAGCGCGTGTGGCGCCAGAATCCCACCAATCCAGCCCAAACACACCTCAAGACCTTTTTAAGGTCCTACGGTGTGGCAATAGAGGCAGCTCAGAAAACATTCATCACAGCCAATATTGCATCAGCGAAGAATCGTCCAGCTGAGCTTTTTCGAGTTGTCAGGGGCCTGTTAAATCCGCCAAAAAGCGAGGCCTCGGATAACTCGGTGGCTCGCTGTGAAGCATTTGCTCGATCCTTCGCGGATAAAATTGAGCGGATTCGGTCTGGATTCGACGTCATGTTAACGGCAGTCTCTGGGGATGTAACGAGAGCACCTGCTTGTCCAGTTTTGTTGGATTCGTTTCAATTGGTTCAGCTTGAGGATGTGGACAGGATCCTTGGAGAGGTGCGACCCACCACATGCATCCTAGACCCCTGCCCTTCCTGGCTGATTAAGGAAGCCAGAGGGGGTTTGGCGGGGTGGGTGAAGGTGATGGTTAATACCTCCTTACAGAAAGGAGAGTTTCCAGCGAGCCTAAAACAGGCTATTATAAAACCGCTGTTGAAGAAACCATCACTGGATCCCACTCAATTTGACAACTATCGGCCAGTTTCCAATCTCCCCTATTTGGGCAAAGTCATGGAACGTGTGGTGGCAACACAACTCCAGGGGTTTCTGGTAGACACTGATTATCTTGATCCGGCACAGTCTGGCTTTAGGCCGGGACATGGAACTGAGACAGCCTTGGTCGCCTTGGTAGATGATCTGCGCAGGGAACTAGACAGGGGGAGTGTGTCCCTGTTGGTTCTGCTGGACCTCTCAGCGGCCTTCGATACCGTCGATCACGGTATCCTTCTGGGTCGCCTCATGGATATGGGGCTCGGGGGCACCGCTTTGCAGTGGCTCCGATCCTTCCTTGAGGGACGGACCCAGAAGGTGTTATTGGATGACACCTGTTCGGCCCCACAACCGTTATTGTGTGGAGTCCCACAGGGTTCAATTTTGTCCCCGATGTTATTTAACATCTACATGAAGCCGTTGGGAGAGATCATTCGGAGTTTCGGAATGAGATGTTATCTCTATGCAGATGATGTCCAAATCTGTCACTCCTTCTCACCTGTCACTAAGGAGGCTGTCCAGACCTTGAACCGGTGTTTAGCTGCTGTGTCGGACTGGATGAGAGCTAACAAATTGAAACTAAATCCAGACAAGACAGAGGTCCTACTGGTCAGTCGGAAGGCTGAACAGGGTATAGGGTTACAGCCTGTGTTAGACGGGGTTACACTCCCCCTGAAGACGCAGGTTCGCAGCTTGGGAGTAATCCTGGACTCATCGCTGAGCCTGGATCCTCAGGTCTCAGCGGTGGCCGGGAGAGCTTTCGCACAATTAAAACTTGTGCGCCAGCTGCGCCCGTACCTTGGGAAGTCGGATCTGGCCACGGTGGTCCACGCTCTTGTCACATCCCGGTTGGATTACTGCAACGCACTCTACGTGGGGTTGCCTTTAAAGACTGCTCGGAAACTTCAACTAGTTCAGCGAGAAGCAGCCAGATTGCTCACCGGGGCGGCGTACAGGGAGCATACCACCCCCCTGTTGCGTCAGCTCCACTGGCTGCCGATCCAATTCCGAGCACAATTTAAAGTGCTGGTTTTGACCTATAAAACCCTTTACGGTTCCGGCCCAGTGTATTTGTCCGAACGGATCTCCCTTTACGTCCCACCTCGAAGTTTAAGATCTTCTGGGGAGGCCCTGCTCTCGACCCCGCCAGTATCACAAGTGAGGCTGGCGGGGACGAGGAGCAGGGCCTTCTCAGTGGCGGCCCCCCACCTGTGGAACTCACTCCCCGGGGAGATCAGATCGGCGACTTCCCTTCTAGCATTTAGGAAAAAACTAAAGACCTGGATGTGGGACCAAGCTTTTGGTCACTCTGATAACTAAATCAAGGACCTGGCGATAGACAAGGACAAATGGAATAGAATGGATGTATGGACTCTGATATATGGACTCTGACATGAGATTGTTTTAATATTTTATTATGTATTGATGTTTAGTTTAACTGTTGAATTGCTTTTTTGTACTTTGTATTGCTGTCAATTGATTTAGGCATCTAATTGTGCCTCCTCTGTAAGCCGCACTGAGTCCCCCCCGGGGTGAGAAGGGCGGGGTATAAGTGAATGAAATAAAATAAAATAATATTAAGATTTTATATGTATATGTAAACAATCTTTGGCAGTTGATTCATCAAGTAAATTTTCAAGCATTTCTGACACCTTTTTCTGTGCTGAAAGTGGCAAAGGCTTGTTAAACGTGGGATTTTCGCTTTCACGTTTATCTTCATTCTCAATGGCATCAGCCTCCCCTTTCTGGAGTTTTGATTCAGAAGACTTCGCCGTGAGATATGCTTCCTTGTATTCTTGGATATGCACATGTAAGTTGGATGTATGATCCCTTTTCCCCCACACACACAAACTGGAAATAGTAGTGTGGTGGACATTTTCTTCTTCTTTTTTAGTATTCAAATTTACACAGTACATTTGGAAAAAAGGGGACTTTCACAGTTCTTAACTTGCATGGCTTAATGGAATCTGCTGATAAGAATGAAAGAGGAGGAATAGCTTCTCTTTGTTTCTCATGTCGCTTTAATCTTCTTCCATAAACTCCCTTGAGGCAAACACAACTCGTTTTCCTTAGAAATCTTACTCAGGCCCACAGAGCTCTGTGGAATGAAAGGAGGAGTGCAGGGCTTTTGAGAAGTCATGTGCTGCCAGAAATGTTAGAGGGGACCTGATTCAGCCCCAGACCTCAGAATGCTAACCTTTAAACACAGTGTTTCTAAAGGCTGCTTTCATTCTGTACTTTTTGAATCTAATTCAAATGAAGTGGTTTTTAAATATCTCATATACATAAAATCTGTTTCTTGGAGACTTCTATTTCTGTTCTAATATACTACCTTTCAATATTTAAATGGACCAAAGAGAAAAGACAACAATACGTGGAATATTTTTCCTTATGTTTTTCCTTTTGCATTTCCTGATTAATTGTTCAGTTTGTTGTCCTGGTCGTTTCTAACAATGAAAGAAATAGAATACTGAAATTTTATTTCTTTGCATTTTATAATAATAAAAGTGCTCTTAACTGGGCCAGTGGGAAGCCAAAACCATTTCTACTATGAATGATGAATCAGACTATAACAGATGGCACAAAAACAAAGAACCAAAATGACTGTGGGGGGATCAGGGAAATATGGGCAGGTGTAAGAAACAACCACTTCTAAGTGACCAGATCTAGAAGCTTTATGGAAGTATTTTTTCTCCTTTTAGGCCAAAAATTTCCAATATAGCTAAGTGAAGGCAAGTTCTCTGATGTTTTGTACATGGGTAATTTTTAAGAAATTATTTTCAGTGCAACTCACGTGAATATCCAGTATTTATCCAATAAAACTGAAGCCGTTGGAATGAGTGAAATGTAAAGCATAGAACAGACATTTAAGCTTCCAAAAAAAAATTACCAGAAGTTTTGATTGGAACCTGAATAGATCAGCCAGGGAAATGAGCAAATGTGCTTCACTACAAAGTCCCTTTACTTTTTCCATAGTTGCACTAGGTCGTAATCAGCCCCTGAAAAAGGAGAAACCGAAATGGAAAAGCGATTATCCAATGACAGACGGACAGCTGCGCAGCAAGAGAGATGAATTTTGGGACACTGCACCTGCTTTTGAAGGCCGCAAAGAAATCTGGGATGCCTTGAAGGCTGCAGCACATGCATTTGAGAACAATGACCATGAACTAGCACAAGCAATCATTGATGGTGCAAACATCACATTACCCCATGGTAAGTTGGTCTGTAAATGAATGAAGTGCGGCGGTATTGTATATAGAAATAGGTTTTACTTGGTCAGTTCTAAAATTGAACTGTTGTTAAAGTCACATACAAATTAACATGAGTACTGTTTTTAAAGGTAATGCTGCAGAAATCAGTTGAACATGCTCGGGTCATGGACTCTTCTCGAGTATGAGGTGTAACAAAATAATATAAAGATAAAATGTGGGCCTAAAATAAGATTGGGATCCAGTATAGTTGGTAGAACACAACTGTGATATTCTATCATCCTGTCCTAGTTAATAATCTCTACATTGCCTTCTGCACCAACTGAATTTTTCTAAACAGCCTTTGAAGGCAGGGCGGCACCTAGTGTCTTAAAGCAGTCTCATGTGGAGGATACCTGAGTCTGGGTGACTAAAGCCAAGCTATCTCTAACCATTTGTCTCCGTATTGCTGGTTCTGCTGGTAGAACATATTCTGTGCCAGAGAAGAGCTTATATTTCCAGTGACAAAGGTGGACCAAGAAGTGTTCAGAAGCTGCAAATTCATTCCTTAAAAGGTACTTTAACACCATTCTCTTGGACCAATGATTCATCCACTTAACCTACTTCGGTGTTATCTGAATTGAACTTCATTGTGTTGGTTATAGACTATTACAGTACTTCAGCCATTTTTTCTCTCCTTCTAACATAAGTAACCAAACCATTGGTGGCAATGTATGAAGTAATTTGTTATAAATTGGCAGTACTGGTAGATAGAAAGGAAGCTAAATACCTTCGTTACATTTCTCAGTTACAACTTAGGACTGTTTGTTTCATTATTCTTTCCTTTACATCCAGCATAAATTCAGTAAAAAGTATTTCATGTAGAAATCTTCTCTTCTTTTCTGGCAGTTTGCTGTTTTTCTTTGAGGACTCAACACACTGTTTTTGCATCTCCCCTAGGTCAGAGGTGGAAAACTTACAGCACACGTGCCAGAATATGCCTACAGCACTCTTTCTCCTGGCATGCAAGCCGTCACCCACCCTCCGCTCACCTCAACTCGCCGCCCCCCTGCTCACAGCCCCAAGTTCCCCCAACCTTCTCTCCCACCCCGGGTTTGGGCACTCCGTCTGTAAAAGTTTTGCCATCACTACCCTTAGGTACAGGCTCCTTGTTGTGTACACTTTATCCGCCTCATTTATCTGCCCTCCTCATCACAAATTCTTATGAATTTCCACTTGATTTATATTATTACCAATGCAGATGCAATATCTTAAGTTTTCAATTTATCAGACATAACATTTACATACCATCCAGGATTCATATTTATCTAGAACAATGATGTGGCTACTATTCTAAAATAGAAGAGAATCTGATTTGAAATTCCTGTTCAAATCTGTGTTTATATAATATTTCAATGTTACAACATCTGTCACTTTCCCTTTTAGGGTGCATGTCACAAAGAAGTATAACAGTTTCCTTTCCACGAAACTGCCAATTTCATAATGTCTTTAAATAAATGACTATTAGGGATGCTGTCAAATTGGAGATAATTCTCTACATAAAAGAAGTTGCTGGGACAATTTAAAGTTGGGTAAAAAGACAGATAAGGGGAAACATGAAGAAATACATAGACATATTGGTATGAACAAGATGGATAAAGAGATTTTTTTTTCTCCTCTGTTCCATGTGAACCTGGGATTATGCAATTAAGTTGAATTGTAGAAAAGTCATAGAAAAAAAAAGAAAGTACCTCTTTCTATTCGTTTTCGGACAGTGATATTTGTTACTTGAAGATATAATGGTGGCCATCAATTTGGACAGCCTTAAAAGTAAATTAAACAAATACCTTGAAAATAAAGCTATAAAAGTAGTATTCCTGTTCCGTGTTGTTGTTCATTCGTTCAGTCGTCTCTGACTCTTCGTGACTTCATGGACCAGCCCACGCCAGAGCTCCCTGTCGGCCGTCACCACCCCCAGCTCCTTCAAGGTCAGTCCAGTCACTTCAAGGATGCCATCCATCCACCTTGCCCTTGGTCGGCCCCTCTTCCTTTTTCCTTCCACTTTCCCCAGCATCATTGTCTTCTCTAGGCTTTGCTGTCTTCTCATGATGTGGCCAAAGGACTTCAACTTTGTCTCTAGTCTCCTTCCCTCCAATGAGCAGTCGGGCTTTATTTCCTGGAGGATGGACTGGTTGGATCTTCTCGCAGTCCAAGGCACTCTCAGAACTTTCCTCCAACACCACAGCTCAAAAGCATCTATCTTCCTTCGCTCAGCCTTCCCTAAGGTCCAGCTCTCACATCTGTAGGTGACTACAGGGAATACCATGGCTTTGACTAGGCGGATCCTTGTTGCCAGTGTGATGTCTCTACTCTTTACTATTTTATCGAGACTGGACATTGCTCTCCTCCCAAGAAGTAAGCGTCTTCTGATTTCCTGGCCACAGTCTGCATCTGCAGTAATCTTTGCACCTAGAAATACAAAGTCTGTCACGGCTCCACATTTTCTCCCTCTATTTCCAGTTGTCAATCATTCTTGTTGCCATAATCTTGGTTTTTTTGACTGTTAGCTGCAACCCAGCTTTTGCGCTTTCTTCTTTCACCTTGATTAGAAGGCTCCTCAGCTCCTCCTCGCTTTCGGCCATCAGAGTGGTGTCATCCGCATATCTGAGGTTGTTAATGTTTCTTCCAGCAATTTTCACCCCAGCTTTGCATTCATCAAGCCCCGCACATCGCATGATGTGTTCTGCATACAAGTTAAAAAGGTTGGGTGAGAGGATGCAGCCTTGCCGTACGACTTTCCCAGCAATCTTGAACCAGTCTGTTGTTCCATGGTCAGTTCTGACTGTTGCTACTTGGTCCTTGTACAGATTCCTCAGGAGAGAGACAAGGTGGCTTGGGATGCCCATCCCACCAAGAACTTGCCACAATTTATTATGATCCACACAGTCAAAGGCTTTAGAGTAGTCAATGAAGCAGAAATAGATGTTTTTCTGAAACTCCCTGCCTTTCTCCATTATCCAGCGGATATTGGCAATCTGGTCTCTCGTTCCTCTGCCTTTTCTAAACCCAGCTTGAACATCTGGCAACTCTCGCTCCATATATGCTGGAGTCTTCTTGCAGGATCTTGAGCATTACCTTACTGGCATGAGAAATAAGGGCCACTGTACGGAAGTTTGAGCAGTCTTTCGCATTTCCCTTTTTTGGTATGGGGATATAAGTTGATTTTTTCCATTCTGATGGCCATTCTTGTGTTTTCCATATTTGCTGGCATATGGCATGCATCACCTTGACAGCATCATCTTTTAAGATTTTAAACAGTTCAGCTGGGATCCCGTCGTCTCCTGCTGCCTTGTTGTTAGCAATGCTTCTTAAGGCCCATTCAACCTCACTCCTCAGGATGTCTGGTTCTAATTCATTCACCACACCGTCAAAACTATACTCGATATTATTATCCTTCCTATACAGATCTTCTGTATAGTCTCGCCACCTTCTCTTGATCTCTTCAGCTTCTGTTAGGTCCCTGCCATCTTTGTTTCTTATCATACCAATTTTTGCCTGAAATTTACCTCCAATGTTTCTAATTTTCTGGAAGATGGCTCTTGTCCTTCCTATTCTGTTGTCTTCTTCCACTTCCATGCATTGCTTATTTAAAATAGTTCCTTATCTCTTCTGGCTAACCTCTGGAATTGTGCATTTAATTGGGCATATCTCCTCATCACTGTTTCCTTTTGCTTTTCTCCTTTCTTGGGCTACTTCCAGTGTCTCAGCAGACAATCATTTTGCCTTCTTGGTTTTCTTTTTCTTTGGAATGTACTTTGTTGCTGCCTCCTGAACATTGTTGCAGACTTCTGTCCATAGTTATTCTGGGACTCTATTTACTAAATCTAGCCCTTTAAATCTGTTCTTCACTTCCACTGCATATTCACTAGGAATGTTAGTGAGATCATATCTAACTGGTCTGTGTGCTTTCCCTGATCTCTTTAGTTTTATTCTAAACTAGCTTGGGGATCCGGCGCTGCCCGGGTTATTAGAAACTAAAGGGACCAGTACAACCAGAGATATGTCGGTATGCCATTGGAAGATGGGACTCCCAGGTCGGAAGATGGCCAAAATGCTACTGGGGAGGAGCAGAGGATAAGTTCAACTAGCCCCAGATGTGATGACGCAGCTAGCTCAAAGCCGAAAGGAAGGCTAGTGGCTGACGGTACTGGAGGTGAACAATGAATCCGATGCTCTAAAGATCAACACACCATAGGAACCTGGAATGTAAGATCTATGAGCCAGGGCAAATTGGATGTTGTTATTGGTGAGATGTCAAGACTAAAGATAGACATTCTGGGGGTCAGCGAACTGAAATGGACTGGAATGGGCCACTTCACATCAGATGACCACCAGATTTACTACTGCGGACAAGAGGAACATCGAAGAAATGGAGTAGCCTTCATAATTAATAAGAAATTCGCTAAAGCGGTGCTTGGATACAACCCAAAAAATGACAGAATGATCTCAATTCGAGTGCAAGGAAAGCCTTTCAACATCACAGTGATCCAAATATACGCCCCAACCACAGCTGCTGAAGAAGCAGAAGTAGATCTCTTCTATGAGGATCTGCAGGACCTACTGGATAATACACCAAAAAGAGACATTATTTTCATTACAGGAGACTGGAATGCCAAGGTGGGAAGTCAAATGACAACTGGGATCACAGGCAAGCATGGTCTGGGAGAACAAAATGAAGCGGGACGCAGGCTGATAGAATTTTGCCAGGAAAACTCGCTGTGTATAACTAATACTCTCTTCCAACAACCTAAAAGACGGCTTTATACATGGACCTCACCAGATGGTCAACACCGAAATCAGATTGACTACATCCTTTGCAGCCAAAGGTGGCGGACATCCATCCAGTCAGTGAAAACAAGACCTGGGGCTGACTGTAGCTCAGATCACGAACTTCTTATTGCTCAATTTAGAATAAAACTAAAGAGATCAGGGAAAATACACAGACCAGTTAGATATGATCCTGTT